TTGCTTCCATAGTTAAATCCTTGCCATCAAAGCCTACACAAACGCCCCGGTCAACATATGTCACTATCAGGGGCCCTGGTAAAACCACGGCAGATATCATTAATGGGCTACCATCACCAGAAGAAATTGGAGTGAAGGCCACAATTGTGCGTAAAACTAAGGGAGGCTCCATCTTGGTGCGTATGGATGATGGTAAAGATGCTACCAAAGTTATAGGATGCCAGGGGCTACGTGATAGAGGTCTACAAGCCAGGCTTGCTCTGAAGAAGAAGCCTAAACTAGAGATCCGGGGCGTGCCTCATGCCTGGACTTCAATACAACTCGTGGAATTTTTATGGGGAAAAATTCCCGAGACGTCGGGGCCTACACCACTAGTTCTTGAAGATCTTCGGCCATTGTTCTCTACAGTCGCTAGGAACGGCTTCTCCAAGAATTGGGTCCTGGAAGTCCACCCAATGGTCAGGTTTGCGCTACTAGAAGTAGGAAACTTGGATGGAGGATGGTGGTCGATGACCTTCAGGGATTACATTGACGCCCCGCGTTGCTCTAAATGTCAGGGATATGGCCACACAAAGGCCACTTGCCAAGCTGACAATGTCATCTGCATCTGGTGTGCAGCAAGCGGACATATACTAAAGGACTGTCCAAAAAAAAAACAACAGGTTGGGCCAACGTGTATTAACTGCGTGCGAGCGAATGCATCTCCCAACCAAAGGAATCACAAGGCGGGCAGTCGGGACTGCCAAGTACACTTACAGTGGGCCGATGAAGTAGTGAAAAAGACCTATTATGAGTAAAATAAACATTCTGCAGTTAAACATGGGCCGCCGGCGTATCGTGGCAGACGAACTCCGAGCCCATTCTGACCGATACGATATCATGGCGGTTCAGGAACCGACATGCCGTGGGAACATGGTCACAGGATTTGGCCTCACGTCGAGGGTTATAGCCCTGAGCAGTGGAGAGAGGAGGCCCAGGGCTGCTATCGTGGTTAATAACCCAAACCTCGATGTGATGGATCTGAGGCAGCATACTACGGCGGATTGCGTTGCATGTTACATCAGGTGGGGAAGTGTAGCTTTTACGCTGGTCTCCTCGTACCTACCTGATGGAAGCGATATTGAAGAAGGTATATCCGCCATGGAGACGATCTCAGCTTGCACAAGAAACGTCATTATATGCTCAGATACAAATTCTTGGAACACGGTCTGGGGATCCAATCGAACGAATAGAAGAGGCGCTAAACTGGATGATTTTATCGCGAGATGCCAGCTTGTAGTACTAAACGATCCTTCTGCCACACCTACCTTCTCAGGAGGAAGAGGGCAGAGTTGGATAGATGTCACGATGGCTTCGCCTGCGCTGTCAAATCGCCTTATCGATTGGACCCTCAGATCTGAGACGAGTTCCGACCACCATGCTATAGTATTTTCAATGGTACAAAACATGGTAAGTTCCCACGGTATAAATAAGGGTTACAGAACTCGGAAAGGAGATTGGAATGCCTTCCGGTCAACGCTGGAAGAAAAACTAGTCGACGATGACTGGGATGTGGCGGAAACGGATTACACTGATGACCTGGATTACAGGGTTTCGAGAATCACTGACATCATCCGTGATGCCGCTGAGGACTCTCTCCAGCACCGGAAGGCGAGAGCTAAACCTGTCCCATGGTGGACGCCGGCTTTAACCACCATGAAGAGAGAGCTCTACAAGGCCCGGCGTTCGTACCAGCGGTGTAGTTGCGATGAGAGGCGCACTACTCTTCGTGACGAGTACAGGTCTAAAGCCAGGGTATACCGAAACGAGGTGCGTCTACATAAACGTAGGTCTTGGGATGAATTCATCGTTGAGGAATCATCTAAAAACCCCTGGGGTATCCCGTACAAAGTAGCCTTGGGTAAATTGACTCCAATGCAAGTAATCGCAGCGATAAAGTATGACGGTACTCAGGCAAAAACTCCAGAAGAATCGGCGAAGATGTTTATTACAGAGACTTACCCCAGGGATGATCCATCTCAAGATAATGAAGAGGAGGAGTTCGTAAGACGCACTACGGTATACCCTCCCGGCACGGACCTGTGCCCACCATGGGACATATGGGATCTTCGCACTGCCGTGGACAAGCAAAAGATTGGTCGTGCCCCCGGTTTAGACACCATTGACGCGTCAATTTTCAAGAACAGTATTCCCTATATAGAGGAAAGATTGCTGGCTATTTATAATGATTGCCTAGACAGGGAATACTTCCCAAGAATCTGGAAAATCGCTAACGTCAAGCTCATTTACAAAGGAGGAGACAAAGATAAGCAATTAGCCAAATCTTATAGACCTATATGTCTCCTCCCAGTCATGAGCAAGGTGTTAGAAAACCTGATACTCACCAGCCTACGGCCAGTCTTCTCGAGAGCGAGCCATCCACGGCAGTACGGATCCTCTAAAGGCAGGGGAACCGCAGATGCCCTGCTGAGAGTGCGCTGTGATGTTGAAGAGAAGGCGGAGAAGTATGTTATGCTCCTCCTGTTTGACATATCATCCGCCTTCGATAGCGTCTGGTGGCCGAGCGTACTCCAGCAGTTGCAAAGGCATGAAGCCCCCAGCAACTTGTATGGCTTGATCAGAAGCTATCTCCACGATAGGACATTGAAGATTAAAGGTAGCTTCTATGAAGTAGAAGATACAGTGGAAAGGGGCTGTCCACAGGGCTCTGTCCTTGGCCCTGCCCTATGGAAACTGGTCTTTGACGAGTTGCTGGGAGTGCTAGAACAGGAGCGGTTCCCCGCCACTGCATATGTAGATGACCTGGCTGTTGTAGTGGCCTCGAATAGCAGGGCCAGATTAAAATATGAAGCTGAACGTTGTGCCAACCTTGTAGAAGAATGGTGCGAGAAAAAGAAGTTAAGGATGGCGGGTTCCAAGACTCAGGCCATCCTCTTGAGAGGTTCGACCGATAGGGCACACCCCATAACCTTGGTGATACAAGGTTCCAGAATATGTCCAAGTGAGGTAGTCACCTATCTTGGAATTAGGATTGGGAAAAAATTCAACGTGACGCCTCACTTGGATTACTTAAGGAATAGGATAACCTTAGCCCTTAATGGTCTCAGTCGCATAGGGGGGGCCTTTTGGGGCCTTAGATATCCAGCAACTATGTCCATTTATAAAGGAGTAGTTATTGGTATCCTGAGATACGCGTCCCCCGCATGGAACCGGAATCTCTCGTACCGTCAGAAGCGCAAGTTGGCAACAATCCAGCGGATGGCCCTGCTTAGAGTAACCAGGTCATACAGAACTGTGTCCCATGAGGCGGTGCAGGTCTTAGGAGGAGGTATTCCTCTCGACCTCCTTCTGCGGGAAGACCTTTATCGGTACAACATTAAGAGGGATGACTTGGCGGATTTACCAGCAAACATTCGGGAGAGGATTTGTGATGACCCCAGAAGATGGAAGATGATCCTCCGGGAGGATACATTGGAACAATGGAATCGGCGATGGGTGACAACCCCAAACGGGTCCACACTAAGAAAATTCTTTCCCACCATTAAATCGCGCTTAGAAAAGAAATGGGTCCTCCCGGACTACTGGGTCTCACAGATCCTCACGGGGCATGGGGGTTTCAGAGCAAAACTTTTTAAACACGGTAAAAATATCGACCCCTTATGCCCCACTTGTGGAGTACCTGAAACCGCTGAGCACATCCTTGTAGCCTGCACCAGCTATGAGGCACTGAGGGCCAAATTAATGAGGGATACAGGGCTTTTCGTTCTTACAGAAGGACAATTACCCCAACTAATGTCTGAACAAAACTACCCGCACTTTAAAAGTTTCGTATGCGGCTGGAAAAAAACTGTGGGCCCAACCCACTTCTCCCTGGGAAGGCGTGAAGAAGCAGTACCTGGAAGGCCGCTAATTAGGACAGGAGAAGAAGATGGAGAACAATAACTAAGTGACAAAATTATCAAGCAGGCTGTGTGCACAGCATTTTAAAAATGTAAATAGATAAACATGCAACAGTGATTTGTTATACAATGTGTATCAAGTCACTGCTGCAAACTCCCGTATTGTCTTAAAGGCAGGGTAGGGAGGAAAATAAAATAAAAATAAAATAAATAAATAAATAATGTCGTGAGTGGAGAATCTGGCCATTGCTAGAACTCCAATATTAACAAACTAAAAAGGTCACGGGGCCACAGCCGTTTTAAACTTCTTGGAGGATTATTGGGATGGTAGATAGGGATTGTGCAAAGGAATTTAGATAATGGGTAAGGGGTCGCTGTTATTGACTGCAGATTCTAAGGCCTTCGTATTTTTCAATAATTCGTTATCCGTACATATATTATTACAGTAAGGCTCGAAATCGGTTTTGTACCAAATATAAGCTCCTGTCATGCTCAAATACCATGAATGGGGTACCGTTGGATTCAGAATTTCACGGTGGATTAACGAATCGTATACCCCGAAAATTCAGGTAAACAAGTTATGAAAGAAAACTAACTTTATTTGCGAATAACTAAAAAATTACACACTTTTCCCTAAATTGTATAAAACATTACTAAATTGTCTACAAAGGAAAAAAAAATCATTGAAATCGGTCAACTTTTCACAAAGATACAGCTTATTGAAATTTGTAAATATGTTGGTTCCAAACAAAAATGTAGATTTAAATTGATTTTGTTTCCTTTGTCGATTATATATATCGATAAAATAACAATTGATTTCTTTATCTTTTGATACGTTGAATTATTTTCTTTTCTTATTAATTTGGCATCTGATAACAATATGCTGTGCGAATTTTTCGCTCGGGCCTACTAGTTACCTAATACTCTCCTAACACAAAATAAAGATTTTAGACTAAATATATGTTGAGTAAATGGTATTTTCATGTGAACATGGAAGTTTGATTTTATATAGGTGACAGCAGTTAATTAATCTTAATTAGTTTATTTTTTCTTAATTAGCTCACGAATAATTGAATTCGAAGCTTATTGATAAATAATTACCTCATGAGATGGAAATGTTCTTCCAACGACTTCCTTAGGATTGTTACGTCCTTGTAATCCTGCATGGGTAGTACCTCCTTCTTCTTCAGCAAATCCTCCCTTTGACCATCCTCGATGCCGAAGACCTGCAAGGTGTTGTTAAGGATGGCCAGCTTGTGGCACAGCTGATTAGACAAATGAAGTACCATCGTGTCCACGGATGCAGTGACCAGCCAACAGACCGCTATGGCGCCGAAGAAGGTGAAGAAGTGGAGGGTGCGTCTCCCTTGAGTGTTGATCTCATAAGCCTCCCAAGTCGGGTAGGGTACCGCTGATGTGGTATGAACGAAGAGTTAATGATAGTGAACTTATGAAGACTTTATTAGTAATAATAAAGAATGGTACTTAACTCAATTTTAATTTAATTATAATGGGTTATAAATACATTCATATAAATACAAATATGATAAACATTACACATTAAAAAAAACTTAAAACTTTGTTAATATCTTAATTAAGTCCGATTTTGAGCAAAGGCCTACCACTGTTTTCGCCGTTAACATTAATTACATGACAAAGAAGTTTCATACGAATGAATAAAAAAGAACAAACATACAAGAATAATAAAAACACACAAGCTATGAGGTCAATGAGGTCCCACCGATGTCTAGTGAAGAAGTGATACCTCGTATACTGTACAGCATGATAACTTTTTCTTCAACACATTGCTTTCTTCTCGACCAATCCTCTCCTCCTCTCGGGTCAAAGGCTTCCTTTATTCAACTTTCCCAGGTCTTCGTAGGTCACCCTTTAGATCTTTTACCTCCCACCTGCGTCCCATAAGTGAGCCTTGCTAATCTTTTCTGTGACTTCCGAGAGACGTGTCCAAACCACCTTAACTGGCGTTCTTCTATTTTTTCCTTTGCGTCATGCAGACCCACGTTGGAGTAGTATTCCTCACTCGGTCCTTCCTTGTCTTATCTTCGACCCGACGGAGGTAACTCAGCTCCATCGCTTGTCGTTGGCTCTTATGTTTTCTTGTTACAGTCCAAGACTCGGTTGAGTAGGTCAGGATTGGGAGAAATGTATTATTGAAGATTGTTGTTACCTTTGTTTCTTTATCATCCAGCTACCTCGATTCTCTCTCTTATATTCCCATTCACCCAGCCCAAAATCGGTCTTGGTCTTGCACTGTGCACTTTGCAAGACCAAGACCTAAGCCGTCTAACTGTTGCAAGACCAAGACCCTGAATGTTAAAAAAAATCGATTTTTAAAAATAAAAATTAAGCTAAAATAGTTACTAATACTTAATAATCTTGATTACTATATGTAAATAATTGGTATATCCAATATACTTTTGCATTTAACTCTTCTAATTTTTCATTTGAGCTTACTTAGGTTTCTCCTATCTAAAAAATTACAGTAATATCTCGGTAATAATAAGCTAATAGCTAACTGCAAGACTGTTGCGGTCTCGTATTTGGACAACACTAACTACCAGGTATTTAAAGTCGCTTACTTGTGCGATTCATGCTCCATCCAGTCTAATGACTGGATCTTCCGGGTTGGTTCTTCTTCCGACATGTATGATCTTTGTCTTTTTTTAAAAATGTATCTCCATGTTTAATTCTCTTAGTCGATATCTTAGGATGCGTAAGTTAAATGAATTGACTAAATCTATTGAAAGGAAGTACATCTCTCCCAGACTAAAGGGTACTAGAGAGATGCAAGGTTTTGTATTGGGTTCTTTCAGAAATATCTAAACCGTAGTTTTGATATCTTAGAGAATATTGTAACCATTCGAACGATAAGAGAGGAAGTTGCAATGAGCTGGGACAATCTTTTAAAATATTGAAAGGTGAGTCAAACCTGAAGATTGCCAGTACTCACTCAAATCAGGGTTTTCCAGAGCGTTTTTGAGGATCGAGGAGGCGTTGAAGAACAGAGCCATACCTTCGTAGCTGTACATCAAGTACTTCGTAAAGGTGCCTGCACTGCCCTCTACCTTGTACCTGAAAAATGGAAATCCACTTTACTTTTGTTTCCTTGAATCAAATCCATATCCTATATTGATAATAATGATCCAGTCACAAACCCGTTGAGCTGATCCATGAGTTCCTTGACCTGCCTCCTCCGCCGGTGGAGCATCATGTGCTTGAAGAGGGTGCTCGGTCCACTCACCATGCCGCAGCACATCACCAACGTCGGGATCAGCGGGAACTCCGAGTGGCGGGTGAGGACCCCGAGGAAGAACCCGATGGTGTGCATGTAGGTCAGGAGGAAGGTGGTCACCCATCGCTGCAGTTCGACTGCCGCTCTTCCCAGCAGTCTGCAACGTTAGAGAGGGACGTCTTAACCTACTGCCCACCGCAGCGACTGCTTTGAAGTTGAACACTACTTTAGTGGAATAGGAGGGGGCAGACTTCGTTGGCATTGCCTAGCAGTCTAGGTATGACGTCATGTCCTGACTGCTCCAGAATTGTTGGCAGCAGTAGTGGACCCAGGATTTAATTTTGCGTGGCTTTTGTTTTTTGTTTTTTTTTACTTTTAATGTCTGGTTATAGTGTCTCTACTCAGCCTCCATTGGTAATACGAGTGATGCGGCTGAGTGAAAGACGCTGGAATCTCCTAGAGTCCTGCATTTCCCTCCACGAGTGTGTAGGAAAGGCTTGGCTCGGAGATCTTGAGTGACTGAATATTGTAAATATTGTATAAAAGCATGTGTGTATTTAAGTATTTATTTTGTTAGAGTAGTTTATTTTCGTTTAGTTTAGTATCTTTTAGTTTATATTGGTTTATTATTTTCAATAATGAAACATTGTGATCGACCAAAAAATTCAAAAACATACCCCCCTCTCAAAATTTGAGGTTTCACGCAAGACTCGTACAATTCGAAAAACGAATAAAAATTTTTTTGTCCGTCCGCCGTCCGCGCATTTTCTCCGAAACTACTGGACCAATTTTTTTCATATTTTGATATAAAATCAGAGGTCACCCGAGGATGATTCTCCTTCATCGATATTACTATCCGCCTTTAACTTTCAAAATGGCGGCTGAAAAACCTGAGTTGCTATAGACTGTAGCTCTTAAACGAATGTACAGATTTCAAGGAAACTTTGCTAATGAAATAATGTCATTTTCTCGACGCCCTTTAGATTTATCTATATAACATACTTCAATGAAAAGAAACTGGAAAAAAAGTTACGAGGGATGGTAATATTAAATTCCGAATAACTCGAAAAGTTTTTACTCTTTTGTATATAGTTTTTTAAGAGTTTACGAAATTTCCTAAAAAAATAAAAAAATCGTTAAAATCGGACAATTAGGAGCAAAGATATGGTCTCCGGTTTTTTAAATGTGTTCTACTCCAAATGTTATATCCTTGGTTTGGTTTTTAAATTTTGAATGTGTTACTGAACTAATGCTATTTTTTTTTTTTTAGCATATTACTAATGATTAAAGAAAAACAGTTTCGTCGAATAATTGGAATCACCTTTTATTTTTTGTTTTCTTTGTAATTCGGAAGGTAATGTTACTTTAGATGTGTAATTGTTTGGAAATAATAAACCATTGTGAAATAATTTGCAGCGTTTTTTTATTTATTGTGCATAGTATGAATGAGCTACTATATATCACTATTACTATTATCCTTGAATGTGACAGATTGTAATATATCTCAATACAGACTATTTAAAAAAAAAACTTTTAATGACTATTATTACTTTGGACAAAAAAGAAAGAAATTACCTATATGATATATTTTATGAATGAATTTAGTTTACTGTTCTACATATCATAGGTGATAAATAGTGAAGAAACAGTCGTTTTAAGATTCAAGTACGAAAGTTTTGGGATACTTGAAAAATTTCAGTGCTGGTAAAATGCCCTGATGATGAACCGCATGCTTGGGTTGAAAATTCGGCAACAATAAAAATATTAAAATTGATGCGTCCTGACTATTTATTCCCCCACAAGCTATTATATGACGTGATATTTAAGTGGCTTAACAGCTACATTAATGCTTTCAGGAGTTGGATAGCTCAGTGGTAGGGCGCTGTCTTCCAATACTCTAGGTCTCAGGTTCGAGTCCGGCAGATAGGAAATCATTTCTCCTTTTTTATCAGACGTTTATTCAGCCTCTGTAAAATGGTTACCCTTAATTAAATTATTAATTGAGGGGGAAAACCTGGCGGTTGAGCGTGATCTCGGTCAAACCTCCTCCTTGCACAACCGTTAACCAAGAAACAGTACTTGATTGCACAGTACTTGATTTAATTGTATTTCATCCAAAATTTCTCTAATACATTGATAGGCTAAAATTAATTGTTTTAATACGTTTTGTATTTTTTTTTTGTTATTTCTAAAAAGTAGAGAGCGCCCCCGGTTGCCCATCCACTGTTTTCAAAAACCAAAAACCAAAACGAAGGATATAAGCTTTGCAGTAGAACATATAAAAACGCTGCAAATGATTTCACAATGGTTTATTATCCGAGTTACAAAGAAAACAAAACAAAAGGTGATTCCAATTATTGGACTAAACTGTTTTTCTTTAATCATTAGTAATATGCTAAAAAAAAAATAGCATTAGTTCAGTAACACATTCAAAATTGAAAAACCATACCAAGGATATAACATTTGGAGTAGAACACATAAAAACAAACCAGAGACCATATCTTTGCTCCTAATTGTCCGATTTTAACTATATTTTTTTTATTTTATTTTAGTTTCATAAACTTATAAAAAAACATATAATAACAACAAAAAAGTAAAAACTTTTCGAGTTATTCGGAATTTAATTTTACCATCCCTCGTAACTTTTTTTCCAGCTTCTTTTCGTTGAAGTATGTTATATAGATAAATTTAAAGGGCCTCGAGAAAATGACTTTAGCGAAGTTTCATTGAAATCTGTACATTCGTTTACGAGCTACAGTCTATAGCAACGCAGGTTTTGCGGCCGCCATTTTGAAAGTTAAATGCGGAGAGTAATGTCGATGAAGGAGGATCATCCTCGGATGACCTCTGATTTTATATCAAAATTTGAAAAAAAATCGGTCCAGTAGTTTCGGAGAAAATGCGCGGACGGCGGACGGCGGACGGACAAAAAATTTTTTATTCGTTTTTCGAATTCTACGCATCTTGAAACGTGAAACCTCAAATTTTGAGAGGGGGTTATGTTTTTGAATTTTTTGGTCGATCACCAACATATTTAGAACACCAAAATGTTCGATTTCAACGATTTTTAAAAATATTTTTTTAGGAAATTTAAATTTAAATAACCATATACATTATAAATATTAAAAACCACGATATCTTTACTAATAAAGCTCAGATTTCAAGGAAACTTTCTTCGTTTTTAGGAAATTTAAATACCATGGAAACATCAGATTATAAAATTCACAAAAAAGTTTATATTTTTATAGTTATTCAAAAATCTAATTTTACCTCATCATTTTTATTCCAGCTTCTTTTCCTTGAAATATGTTATATTAATAATAAATAATAGGTCCGTGCTAAAAATTCGCACAGCATATTGTTGTCAAATACCAAATTAATAAGAAAATAAAATAATGCATAGATCAAAAGATAAAGAAATCAATTGTTACTTTATCGATAAATATAATCGACAAAGGAAAAACATTAATTTAAATCTTCATTAATGTTTGTAACATGTTTACAAATTGCAATAAGCTGTATATTTGCTAAAAATTGTCCGATTTCGATGATTTTTTTTTTCTTTTTTAGGGAATTTAGTAATATTTTATATAATCATGAAGGGTAAAATGTGTAATTTTTTTCTTATTCGCAAATAAAGTTTGTTTTCTTTCATAACTTGTTTGTCTGAATTTTCGGGGTGAAAACTCCTTAAAAGCTTCATCTGCATAACGTTCGACCTGAGTTCAAGTTTTTCGTTGAAGTATGTAATATAAATATATTTAATCGAAGAGAAGACTTTAGCCAAGTTTTATCGAAATACAACAGATTTTTCGGCCGCCATATTGAAAAGAAAGGGCAAATAGCAATGCCGAGGTAGGAGGATCATCCACGTATGATCTCTGACTTTAATTTCAAATTTGAAAAAAAATCAGTCCTCTTGTCCCAGAGAAAAACCTCGGAAGACAAACGGATAATGTTTTTTTTATTAGATTTTTTGTAAAATCTCAATTTTTACGGGGGGGGTTTAAGTTTTTTAATTTTTTGTTCGATTATAATGGTTCATTAATGAAAAATACATACCCTAGTTCGCCGTCGAAATACACCCCGGCACACCTGAACATATACCTGTGCCTCTTGAAGACATCCATACCTGCCTAGCTATGGAGGGATATTGAGCCAATGAAATAAATACAATTGCAAAATAATTAACCGTAATTAAAACAATTAAACAATTAGTAGATATTCAGCAATATTCTAATTGGTCGAAAGATAATAAATTTTTGATGAATTTAGATAATTACATCATTGGCTACTATCGATTCTAAATTCTAAATACAAACTGTCTGTCCTTTTAATTGTACAAAATTGTTTTTAATTTCTAAATTGCATTGATACAATTAATTATTGAAAAAATTATAAACCTCCTTTTAATTTCTTAACATAGAGTACAATTATAATGATAACATTAATGTTATCCCCATTTAAATAATTGTGCTTATAGAATGTGCCAATTGTTGAATGATTTATTGACAATTTCCATAACTTTTCCAACCAGTTGCTCCAAATAATTTTTAAACCGAGTTAGTTTAATAATATGATAATAAATTTATTTATTGAGCAATTTTACAAATGCCTTTTGGCATATTTTGTAAATGTGATGTTCGTTAGCGATCCTCCTCTCCGGGATTAGCGTGAATGGAGAAACCTCCCACTGAAGGCACTCCTAACTTGACTCTCCTCAATGTATCTGACTCCCTGCTCCACAGGCAAAATCATTTTTCGGCGCACTTAGACTTTTATTGAGGATAGTGGATTAGATTGAGCGGTCATGCACGTATTTGTAACTCTTTCGGATTAATTT